AAGCTGTTCTCCATTCTATATGCCAGGTAGTATTTATTTTAGCAATAAAGAGTCTCTTTAAATAAAATGTATCAGATCAAGGGGATGTATTTGGCAGGTGTGAATTAAGAGTTTATTTGGTTTCACTCTGTGAATTCCAAACTAAAAGCCATTTCTGAATATAAATATGACGTATGAGCTATGACAAAAGAAAAGCAATGCCCTATGTCGTCTTCTTTGTAATATACATGACTGGTAGCAGGAACTGCCTTTTAATAAAATATTTAATACTTATACAAAGAAACTACTCATATTTTAGGAGAAAAGTATTTCAAATTCATAGCAGATTTGGAGGAAACTAAAAGATTTTTATATGATTATAATAGTAAGAAAAGTAAAGTTTGGTCAAGCAAAGGATATGTGATGGTTAATTTTTTTTACTTTAAATAATTTTTATTTTTCAATTACTGTTGACATAAAATATTACATTCGTTTCAGATACACAACCCAGTGATTAGATATTATATATATTATGAAGTTATTGCCCTGATGAATCTCATACCCCTCTGAAAATATTATGGTTATTAAAATAGTATTGACTATATCCTCTATGCTTGTACTTTCCATCCCTTGTACTTTACATCTGCAACTACCAATTTGTACTTCTTAATCCCTTCGCCTTTTTTATACATTCCTTCAACCTCCTTCCCATCTGAATTCCTTTAGCTTGTTCCTATCTGGGAAACTCACTATCTCTCCTTTGATACTAAATGATAGCTTTGCTGTGCTGAGTAATCTTGGTTGTGGGTCCTTGCCTTTCTTCACTTTAAATATTTCTTGCCAATCCCTTCTGGCCTGCAAAGTTTCTGTTGACTAGGCAGCTGACAGTCTTATGGTAACTACCTTGTAGGTAATGAATTGCTTTTCTTTTGCTGCTTTTAAGTTTCTAGCTCTGTCTTTAACCCTTGGAATTTTAATTATGATATGTCTTGGTGTGGGCCTCTTTGGGTTCTCTTGTTTGGGATTCTTTGTGCTTCCTAGACTTGATTGCCTATGTCCTTCACTAGGTAAGGGACGTTTTCTGTCATTATTTTTTTCACTGTGATGGTTAATTTTATGTTTCAACTTGGCTAGTCTGTGGTGCCAGTTGTTTGTTCAAACACAAGTCTAGATATTGCTGTGAATGTGTTTTTAAAGATGTGATTAACATTTAAATCAGTTGACTTTGAGTAGAGAGATTACTCTTCAAATTGTTTGTGGGCCTCATCCAATCAGTTGAAGGCCTTGAGAGAAAAGACTGAGATTTCCAAAGAACAAGGAATTTTACCTCATGGTACAACACAGAAACCCTGCCTAATTTTCCATCCTGCTGCCCTGCGGAATTTGAACTTAGGACTAAAACATCAACCCTCTCCTTAATTTCCAGCCTGTTTGTCTGCCTTACCAAGTTCAGACTTGCCAGCCCCCATAATCACATAAGCCAATTATTTGACACTTGAACTTTCCAGACTGCTGCCCACACCAACTCAAAGCAGCAAACACTTCTTCCTTATGGACTATACACCTATCCCAGAACGAGTCTGGCTTCAGCCTTTCACACTTCCCTTATCGATCGCCAATGCAAATTCTTTCAAAGAAGCTTACCTCTGTCTTCCCCAAACTCATTGTATAAAGGAGCTCTCTCAGCTCCAGGATGGTGGGCACGTTTGTCTTCTTTACCTAGAGCTGCTGCTGGCAGTGTAGCTGCATTTTCTGGCTAGTTTATGGCTCAATAAACCCTTTCTTTCAGAAAAGCTTTTGGACTCCAAGGTTTTTATTATTGATCTATCATCTATCTATCTATCTATCTATCTATCTATCTATCTATCTATCTATCTATCTACCTTTCTTTCTTTCTATCTACCTATCATCTATCTATCTATCTTTATATATTTAAATCAGTTGCATTTCCTTTCCTTGGAAAGTGTGAAGAGAAGTGGATTTATGATTCCTCAGTGACTTAAGAGATTGGACAATCTACCCCTGTGTTTCATGCGCAGTTATTTCATGTCCTTTGCAGCCTCAAGTGTAGCTACACCAAGTAATTTGTCTGACCAGAGATGATGGCTCATTGCTGAGACAGAAACATCAATACAGGGCTGCTGTTTTGCACAACTCCTGGCATGGTGCAATGTGGTGTCCCCAATCAGTTACAACCACTGGATGGAAAAAAGCATTAAAACTACATATGTCTGTACTTTTAGAACTAAAATGTGCTCAAATAAAGGTTATAAGATGGGAAAGAATTCCTATTCTATGCAAGGAACTATGCTAGGCAATTTAAATTCATAATCTTATTTGATTTTTTAATGTGACTAAGTCTGATGATAATGATGATTATAATGGTGATGATGCTTTCCATTTAGGGCAGTGATGGCGAACCTATGACACGCGTGTCAGAGGTGACATGCGAACTCATTTTTTTGGTTGATTTTTCTTTGTTAAATGGCATTTAAATGTATAAAATAAATATCAAAAATATAAATCTTTGTTTTGCTATGGTTGCAAATATCAAAAAATTTCTATATGTGACACGACACCAGAGTTAGCGTTTTTCAAAATGCTGACACGTCGAGCTCAAAAGGTTCGCCATCACTGATTTAGGGGGTAAGAAAAAGAGGGTCAGATGACCTGAAAAAGTTGGGCTATTAGTAAATAAAGGGACATAAATTTAAGTCATATATGATTCTAAAGCTTATACTCTTTTCCTACACTGGATTGCCTTAGGTCAAAGTTAGACATTTATAGCGCTGAATGTAGTTTCAATAAATGCTGTTGATTCAACTTATAGATACACCAAGCTGATTTTTCTAGACATTGGTCTGAAAATCTACAGCAGGTGAATATAAGTCAACATTTCATATCATTTTCATAATAAATGTAAGGACCCACATTGGAAATACTTAGTCGTTTAGTTTTCCAGAATGCTAGCACAAACGGTCCATGCCATCAAGATGTTTGGTTAGGACCGGTTTCCTTGGGAAAGTGGTGAGGGTTTCTCATAATTTTGGATTTCTTTTACTTTGATATTTTCCAAAGCTGTTGTTATCCTATAAACCACTCACTAATTTACTCATTATTTTTTTATTCAATATTTGTTGCATACTTAATATGCCAAAATTTTATATTTTATACGTAGGAAAGTGGAATATGAATTAGCTACAGGTTCTCCCTTTACAGTAAAGTCAGTCCAGAGGGGGAATTCTAGAAATAAGTAGAAGATAGCGTGCAGAGGCACATGTGGTTTTTGATGTTTTCCACAAATCAATGCCAGCAAGACAGTTCTTACCAAATGATAGAAATGATTACTGATGAGCTAATGCATGAGGTTAGTTGTTTATTCCTCTAAAGCACAATGTAGATGATAATCGTCATGATACAAGCCAGATTGATCTTTTAGGAAAGCGAGTGCAGATAAAATCACTTGAGTATATATTTTTTTCTACCAGCTCAGTAAATAGGACATAAAATAATAACCACCGAAGTAGGCTTCATTTTGTAAATAGACATAGATTGCTTGTGATGGGAAAGGGAAAAATAATCTAATTATGGGAACATACTTAATTTAGTAAGTTTAGTCAACTTCTAATTATTTAACTATTCCAATTTTCCTCAAGCATATGTTTTTCAATTAGCAGCAGAAATAAAATGTAGGCTAGCTTGAATTTGTAAGTAAGTCATGGTCTAAATGTTTACTTTCAAGTCTACCTTATGGAACTCTGAAATCATGTCCTCATAGACAAAAACACGGACATGGTGGCTGGATTACCAAGTCTGCTCACAAAATCATCGTGTACCTAATTGTCACGTACTAAAGTTTAACTGTTCTTCTTGTTTTTTGTAAGATGAGCCGTGGATACAAGAACTTGATGGCAAAGTGCACATAGTTCTTCTAATGCAATTAGATAATTGACTTTCCCATTGTTCAGGCTGGGGATGTATCCAGGAGGGAGTTGATGAAGGGACTGGGTGGTCTTGCCAGTTTCAAACCCCCAGTCACACTCTCCCTTTTTATATTATAGCCCCTGGACTGGTACTCTTTTCCCAAGTACAGTAGATATTTCTGATAAGGTTTTATCTCTTCTTGTGTTGGGAACAAGAGGAACATACAGAAAACCAGATATACTGCTTTTAGGAAAAAAAGAGAGAGAGAAACAGGTGACCAGTAAATCAATCTCTCTGGTGCATTCTTTTCTCTTGCTTAATGGAAAACGCAAAATCACATTTTGGTAATCATGATAAAGGAAGCTTGTCTACATTTCTGGGGAAAATGAGAAATGCAGAGCCCCAAGCATGACATCATTAAAGCTTAAGGATGTGAAGGCGCCTTGGGACCATGAGCAGCAGAGCCAGACCGAGCAGGAATAGCTGTGCTGTGGGTGGAGGTGCAAGTAAGGTGCAGGTCTGGGACTCTAATCTCTCTTTGGCAGTATTCGGCTCACCCCATATCATTCCTCAGACACAGATTTACCCATTAGAATCAGCTTGAGGGTCAGAGATTCGTCTTACGTACCAGGAGGCAGAGAGGGACGGGAAGAAAGAAGACCATGGCTGGAGAATTTCTGTGGCCAATTCCAACAGGTCTGGGCCATAAGCAAATCAAGAGAGAAGATGAGTAAGCAACCGTCCCTCTCCTCTGGGCACAGAAGCTGAGAAGCCCATTTCAGTATTTAAGTAAGTCAGGATTAGCAGCTATCAATACGAATACAGAGTAAGGGCTCCTAAATCTCTAGGGAAAGGGAAGTACAAAATGAAAAACTTCCTGGAGATCTTATTTGAATAAATATGGTGCAAATGGGGAGGGACAGAAGAAAGGCATGTAGTAAGTTAAAGAGGTAGAAGAGAGCATGACCTCCCTTAGGTGGTATGTGGGTGTTTGATGGTTGCTGGAACGTAAGGTACATTATGTGGCAGATCATGCAAAGCCAAGCTAGAGGGATAGGATCATTCAGGGCTATGGGCCGCATGGAGAAAGCAGTATATTATTCTCTAGAAGATAGGGAGCTACTAAACTGTAAGCAGAAGTAACGTCGAGAGATTTGCACTTTGGATGGATGAACGGGCACTGTGTTGGAAGTAGATTTAAGGACGGCGGGCTGCAAAGGATACCAGTAGGAGGCTGTGGCAAGAGTCCATAAGAAAAATGACGAAGACTTAATGAGGACCATTATTATAGTGTTGGTAGTAGGAAAGGGGAATATGGTTTCTCATTCAAAAAATATTTAGGTACTTCTGGTTATTATGACTGAATAAACACATTCACTTATCTTAGATTCCTCCCCTAAACACATTGCAGAGTAAAAAAGAAAAGATAGAAAAAAATGGAAGCCAAGGTGACCACAGGATAGAGATCATGCAGCCCAAATCAATAACATTTTACTCTGGAAAGTAGATGGACTGTTGGTGGCGACTGTAGGCTGCGGAGAGCTGTATTCCCAGCCTTCTGGGGTGAGGTGGGGTGAGGAGGTCTGTAAGAGGGAAGCAGATTCAAGGAGCTTAAGAAAACAAGAATATGCTCTGGAATTGAAGACACCGGTTACCAGGGAAGGGCCTATAAGGATGAAAAGAGGACCAACTTTATGCCAGATAAATTCCTAGATCCCCAAGCACGTACTGCACAGCCAGTTACCTACCCATCTGCAACTTCAGCAG